ATATATTATTATTATGTTTTAATATAAATTTATGGTAATTGCACATGGAATACTCTGTCTAGTACTGATGAACACATCTCAGAAATATATTTTTTTGATAGAGCAGGAAAAAGAAAGCCAAAATAATTAAAGGTTATGGGAAATTCCTTTGTGAGGAAGATTGTAACAAAGGTAGGGAAAAAAGATGAAAACAGATATGACTATGGGTGGTCATGAAAGGGCTGTCTCAAATTATACATAATATAGGTAAAGTAAAGGGAAATCTTCCTAGAAAACTCAGAAAACTAGATTCTGAACTGTCCCATCAAAATGAATGGTGGAAGATTCAGGATAAAGAAAACATAGCACAATTAAAGGCTGGAATTCGCTATAAAAAACCAAGATAATGGCCATTAACCTTTGAAAGATGGGGCCATTAAGCTTTGAAAGATGGGGCTGCTGCTAAGCATGAATGATATTTTTTAACTTCAAATGGTATAGGCATTTTTATACTGTTCATGGGCATCCCTGCAATACTTGAACTGACTATTGTCAGAGACAGAGCTTTGGACCAAAATGTTTGGCTTAATTTAGCACAGCATTTTTAATGTTCTCAGAATTACTAAGGGAAATATGTACCTCATAGTTTGAGTGCACAATTAAATGAACACTTTTGGTATTGATTTTTCCCCTTGTTATCTACTAGTAAATGTCAACTGATAAACCTGAGACTGTTTGCCAGTATAACTAAATAGAAGAAATATGAAGATTACATCATAGAAAGACATGGCCAGCAGCAGAAACCTGAATTCTACACATTAAAGAGGAACAACAGCCTTCAGCCGTATCTGAGTGCTTTAAAGCAGCATCTGGTTGGTCACTGCAGGACCCAGCAGATTATGGTATTTGACTTTCCTCAGAAGAGACTTAAAGGTAGAAGGAAAATAATCACATTAAATTATTTTTAGTATATTATTAAATGACTATTTAGACTTCAAGAAAAGTAATACAGCTGCAACATAATATAAAACCTGCAAGTTTCAGTTTAGCTGGCCCTTGTCCAAGCCAATGTTTTCCAGCCGTGCTTGTGGATGATTCTGCAGAAAGTTAGAAATCTCTCTGAATAACTATAATCTGTCAAACATGCCCTCATCCAAGCAGCCTTCAAGGAAAATATGCTTATTCCACCAGATTTTTGACACTTGTCAAGAATAATTTAAGCACAATCAGGAAAGGAGTAACTTAAAGGCTTCCGCCTCCCTAATGAGCCACCATTTTTCTCCTAAACTATTTTCTTCTTTTTCTCTGTATCAGCTTATAAGCTGCCCCATTGTAGTTGCCCTGTGAAACTTGTTGCATCATTTCAAAGTCACCTCAACTTTTGCAGAACTATTTGATTTGACTGCATACTATTATACACAATTATAAACAATATTATATATTGTTATTGATTCTGACAATCTCAGTTTGCTGTGGACATCTAAATTATGAGGCCAAAGTACTTTAAAGAAATAGACAAACCCATAGGTGCTGCCACAACAACTTTTAGACATCCTCAGACTATGCCCAATTCCCTGTCCTTATTTCCAATTCAGCCCATTTTATTAGCAACTGAGACACAGTCACAGATAAGCCTTGGACCAGGAGAAATAAAATGTGTTTTGTTAAAAATGTGTCATCATACTACTACAACTCTCTAGTTTCACATGACAGCTGAAACAGGGTCATGCAGATTATAATACATGTGTCTTATTTATAATACTTCACCTGGTGCCACTTTCCCATTCCTGATCATCTTTATCTTTGTCTTCTTTGGTATCTGGAGCATGTGGATGCTTTTGCACAATTCTCATTCCACCAGCTTTGACTACAACAAAAATAAGTTGAGGAAAAGAATACATTAGATAAGCTAAGTGAAGGTATGGTGAACATATTAAGGTTAACAGTTTAACTAATTAGAATTATTGTGTCATCTGATAACTGAATCGAAGAAGACATGCAGAAAACAACCATTACTGTTGTGATTAAATTCATTCAGCATGGGCCACTACACTTATTGGTTCAACTCCTACTGTTGCCCACTGGATTATCCTCCAAATCTTTACAAATTTACAGCAGAGGTCTTTGCAGAAGGCCTTTAATCCAATTACCAGTATCCCAATTAAAATGATATCCAAGAGTCATGAAAGACTCCTGTCTGAGACCTTGCATAACCATTGCATTAATTAAATTGATCACAATATCATATACTTTGAGATATTAATTTATATTCCCATTCAGACTTCTGGTCCATTTAAACACTAAGGAAACTTATTTATGTTTTAAATCTCACATTATCTGGGATATGGGAAAGTTACCAGTATGGCTGATTATTTGAAACCATATTTATGTATATTCCTTTGAATCCAAATGCATCAGGTATGGCAATGGCAAAATTGTTGTTTTGCTGTAGAGTTACGTAAAAATGGTATAAAAATGACACTAAATTATTTTCATAATACTTCCTGAGGGGAACATATGATAGAAAACTTCCACCCAAGGAATTGTGGTTGATGGGCTCTTTAGAAATGAAACAAAACAAACCATAAATCAATAAAGGCATCACTGTATAGGTACTTTTCACTTTAAAAATTATGATCTAATAGCAGAGGAATTTAGTGAACTTCTTTTACCATGTACCTACTTAACTCCACAGCAGGCAGAGGGTAATACCACGCCTGCTGCACAAAAGATTTCCTTGTACAACTACCGTCTTATTTCACTATATTTCTTTTTAGTTTCCAAAAACTGAATTTATAGCCTTTCAGCTCTCTTCAACCTCACTCCTACTGAGTCAAATTGCTAAAATGAGTTTAACAAATAAGTGTCCTGGCAAGCCAGTTTAGGGAAAATCAAATTCTTAAAGCTATTTGCAAAGAAATGCTTTCTTCTAAAACAAGTCATGATACTTTAAAATCCATGCTGGAACTTTTTCCCTTCAAAAGCATCAATTGTATTTTAGCTGGCAGTGACACTGCCTGGATATAAGATGAAAAATGTGTAACTTTTTTAATTCCAGAAATTAATCTCTTAGTGAATGACCAGAATAACTTGAAATGGAAATTGACCCTGGCCATACCTACACACATGCACCCCTAAAATAAAATTGCACAATAATTTTTCTGTCAGAAGCTACTGGAAGTATCCCTTAATACTTATCCCTGAATTCAACAATAAAGGCTTCATAATTCTGAATAGTAATGGCTTTCCCTGCAAAAATCTAGGAATTACCTTACACAATCACTAGCTTCTGAGAAACTCCCACCCAAAAAGTAAAGATTATTTTGCAGGTAATTCAGAAAAATGCACATCCTGCCTCACTGTCTATGAATTTAGATAACAGGACTGAGAACTGCAGAGTCAATAGGAGGGGAAATATTTTGAAAGATCGTTCAACTTTGAATTCTCCTTGTGTTAAATGGTAATAATAATGAAACATTTCTCCATTTTTGTATATAAAAATACACTATAGCTGTAAATCAAAGCATTCAGTTAAGCTTCTAATATAGGATCTGGGCCAAAAAGAGTAACCTGCTTTTGGAAAACACTTGTTTGTACTTGAGAAGATCTTGCATGTGACAGAGCTAAGATCCCATCTGAATTTATTGATTGCATTAATGTGATTTGGATTTGAATTGTCCTACAGAATCAATTTAGAGATTCAATCTGATAGAAAATCCTAAAACATGCTATTCACTACTAAACCAGAGCACATTTGTTTGTCTTAACTCCCAAATACTGTGTAGTGCACACTACAGTGCAAAGTTTATCTATACTGTTGGGACTGCACAGATTAAAGTTTGATAATAAAAAAGACATAGTTTGGACCCCCTGGCAAATATTTTATTAGAAGTAGAATCAAATTACTCTGTAGAAGGGACAGTGTAAGAACATGAGCCACCAATTCCACCTCCTTGCATCTCCAGAGCAGAACAAAACTGGTGTTATGATATTTAGCACAGTACTGATGGAAAAAGTGTGAACTGGGTCAAAGTAAAAGGCCCAATTTTTCAACATGGTAATACTAGAAAGGTCAAGGCATTGGTAAAAGCTGATATTAGGAACCCTGACACAGAAATGAGTGTGCAATTAGATCCTTTTTTTTTTTTTAAGATCCATGTGCAAGAAGCATGTTTAATAACTTTTTTAGCATTTTCAGGATCTAAAGCAATGAGAAATTCAAAGAAAAAAACATAAATTTGAAGCTGTTTTTCTAGTGATCTCTTCCAGGTAGGTTTATATTTAGGAGCCAGAATTAGCAGGCTGAAGGCACTGGAGTTAAGATAAGTTTCAACCAAAAGTTGAAGAAAAGCAGCCAAGCCTATGTTTCCAAGGAAACAGATCCCACCTCTAGCTGTATTGCCAGTGATTAGAAGGATGGGGAGCAAGAATTTGAATTATGCTATTTCTAATAGACCACAGTCCTTACAGGAACTAATCTATACTCCGTAAAGCAACTGAAGCAATTTTACTTCAAAACTTCTAAAGCAACAGGAACATAGTGGCTACCTCTTCTATACAAATATCTAAAAACAGCAGTACAAATTCTGAGTGCACTCTATACAGTACAGTATTTTATGGAGATGGTGGGGCTTGGACAACCAAGATTGTTGAAAAACTTTGTTCATTAGGTTTCCTGTCTGTCATGATTTTAATTTTCTTCAAAAAACCCTAATTTTGGATTTCTGATGGTTTACCACCTGATCTTCAGATTAACTGCGGAAGGTTAGCATTTTAAGGGAATGAATCAGACAGACTCCTGACCGAAGTATTTATATAAAACAGAGGAACCAGAATATATTCCTATCTTACTCTTCTCTGAATATCAATATATGGAATATTTTCCTAAAACAGAGAAGACTTACATTTCAGTTGTCCAAACATTTAGGACCAACCCCTGCACATAAATAATAATTTAAAAAGAAACAATTTCCTAATTTTCTCTTTCCTTTTACAGTAAATTCCCTCATTTTCTAAACCTTTAATGTTAATGCATTGAAAATCAAGATGCAAAAACCATCTTTCATATTAAGTACCAATTCCTATACAGGTCTACAGAAAAGTAAAATGACACTGAATTCTGTGGAGGTTTATTTTGGGGGGGGGTGTATGAACTATCCTTTGACTCAATCTTGCCTTCTAGTGTCTAAGTCCCTCTACCGTAATTTTCTTGGTAACATTTCAGAAGTGATTTGCCAGTACTTTCGTCCTAGGGCATAGAGAGTGACTAGGCCAAAGGGATGTAGCCACCTTTTGTGCCTAAAGGAGGACTAGAAATTGGGTTTCCCTGCCCCTAATTCAGCACTTTTAATCACTACTGTACACTATGTAATGACTGCAAATAAACAATATATCTCAGGAAAATGACAGAAAGTCAAATGAAAAAACTCTGAAAAAGTACTAGCATTTTCATTGGTATTTCTGAACTCCAAAACACTTAACAGTATGACAGCTTGAAAATAATTCCCTATTTCTCAAGGACATCCCAGAAAGTTGAAGAATTTGATTAGATATTCCCCTGATGTTTAACAGGAAAAACAAATTAATCAGCATTTGAATGAGCATCCATTAAACTCTTGCTGCTCAGGGTAGTTGTGATTATTTGATTCCCATTTTTTTTGTTCCAATTTTATTATTTTACTACTATTTTACTATTGAAATTAAAACAATCTTTAAAAAAAGATAAGAAGGAATAACACTTCATTATGTTTGAAGTGTTGCTTTTAAAATGATTTCTTTTGCCCTTGAGGTGTTACTTTTAAAGTGATTATTTTGCACTTTTGTTCTTTACTAGACATTCTTTCCGGTTGTTGTTTGAAGCAAGCCAACTACCTCTGGAATTCATACAACTAATTTATAAATAAAAACACACAGGACTTGGTGCATATTTTCAACCTTATGCATGCTACCTTAAATCATATTGATAAGTTTGTAAGAAAAACAGGAAGAATATCCAAGTACAGGTAGTCCCCAGTTTAAGAACGAGTTCTGTTTCCAAGGTCTGTCCTTAAGTTGAATTTGCATGTAAGCCGGAACAGTACTGTTGTATAATAATGTAAAAGTAGTAATTACACAATACTTATACATTACAATAATACTGTTCCGGCTTACATGCAAATCAACTTAAGGACAGACCTTGGGAATGGAACTCAAACCATTGTGTATTTAACTCGAATTTTGCTACAATAGGCTCTGTTCTTAACTGAGTCATCTGTAACCTGGGCATTTCTAATCCAGGGGCTACCTGTATATACTCATATACACACTTATACAAACACGCACTACACACACACACACACATAATCAGCATTCATTTCAAGAAATCTCAAATATGTGGCTGCAATGTTGTAATGATTCTCTGTATCAGAGAGAAAATGGGTTGAACTATTGACCTTGCCTAGAGAGCCCAACTTCAGGATCTGCTTCGTGGCTCCGAGAGACACGGTCTGCCTCGATTGGCAACACGTGTCCGATGCTAACCGCCAACCTGAAGAGGAGGGGGATGGGCAGCCCGGTTCTCTAGGAGACTTGCAACACGTCCACGCGCTGCAACCAGAAAGCCCCCCCCCCCAGTTCAGCCTTCCATTATTTCAAACGGAGGTGGCAGGCGGCTACGAGCGCAGGTTTGAAAACTGAACCGTTAACACTTTTCTGCAGCACGTCGCGCAGCTTGTTACAAGGGAGTGAATCCCTCCGGGGTCAGTCACCCTTGGGAATAAGCGCAGATGTAGGATCGCAGTCCTGTTTACTCAAAAGTAAGCCACCCTCCCGTTCTAAGAACAAGACTGGCCCCCAAAGAAAACGCCGCCTTCCTCTTGAAACTGCTAACGCGGGAAGGGGACGCGCCCAAGATCTACGCTCGGTTTGGAAGCGTCCGCAGGGGCACCGGAGTGGGATCGCTCCCCCTTGGCCGCTTCCCTTCCTCCCTAACGCGCCCTCCCGCCATAAACTTCCCTCAGGAGGCAGCGCAAGCAAAAGTGGCGGAAGGAGAGCGGGGAGAAAGGACAGCAGGAGCAGCGGCTGTACCAGCGGGAGGGTGTCCAGCGCGGGTTTCTGCTTTGACTTTGGGTGGCGAAGACATTGTTCGCTCGGGAACCGCCGCCGCTGCTGCCAACAGGACAGTCGCGAGTCCAGCGCGGAAGACACTCCTCCTCCGTGTAGCCTCACTTGTCAACGTGGCTACTCACCGTCGCTGCGCTGCGCACGGCTCTGTCGTCAGAGCTTGGGGTAAAGCAGGAGGAGGAAGCTTACTCCTTCCTCTTCCTGCGCTCCTCGTAGCCAATATGTAGGAGGTTTAGGAGGTTGCGCGCCTTTTACTAGGCTGGCTGAAATGTGAGAAAAAGAAGAGAGAAAAAAAAAGCGTGTGGGGGATCTTGGGCAGCTAGAACAGTGAACAAGAGTTAGCACTAGGTGCTTATGTAGAGCCTCCCAGTTCGACGGGAGTGTATCTCGTGCTGAGAAGAAGGCAGGCTGCTGAGTTTATATCCTGGTTTCCTGAAGCGTTTTCCAGGATGGAAAGCTGGACTGAATGAGCCATTAGCTTAAGTTAAGGGAGCTTTTCCTCGTACTTAATGCATTTCCCACCCCTAAAAGCAGAAAAGGAGGGAAGAACTTTTCAGAAACAGGTTGTTCGCCAACTTCATGGAAAACACCTTCAGTTCTCAAGAGCGTTGCGAGGTTTAAATTGTATTGGGAGAGGATCTGCAGCTTGCTTTGAAAGTACTTACTGTTTTGGTAATGGAACTGCCTCATGGTTTTGGCTTGGTAGGCGTGTGAACAACAATGAATTCCTCTCAGTAAATATCCCGCAAATGTTGACTCAGCCAGCATGGTACAAGAGGCATCCTAGAAACATTTATTTTTGCTGCCCAAACCCGGAATGGTGTAGATCCCTGGAAGGCAGCAGCTGGGATTTTTCAGACGTGTGAAGCAAATAAAACCTAGAATTCATAAAGATACTATGCCTAGCTACCAGAAATATAGGAAACTTTGTCATAGTAATAACATCTATCTGCACTGGCCATGACACTGCAATTCTTTGACATAATGAATGAAAGAATGAATCTTTATTGAAGCCAAAAGCCAGAGATAAAAGGTATGATTGAAAACAGCTAAAAAATATTAATAAAAGAATAATAGGCAATTGTAATAGTTGAAATAAAAATATGTTACAACTGTGAGAAACCTTTCACCAACTGATAGCTAATTTTCATGGCTGCTGCACAATATTTTGCTACAGTCTGAGTTAATAGATGATTTACAGTCTGAGAAAAGGATGAACATGTAAGTATTGTCAGATCGCCCTGGGTACTGATGTAAAAGAGGCAAGATATAACCATTACAAATACACTCAATCCTCGTTATCCGAAGGGATTATGTTTTTGAAAACACCTGTGGAAGCGGAAACTGCAGTTATTGAAGCATTGATCATATATGAAAAATGGGGTAAGATTCCTGTGGATCCTCTTCAGTATACCTGTTACTGTAAACACATTGTGTTTCCAATAATAAAGAATATATGGTACAGTATTTAAAGTATTTTATTTTAAAGAATGAACTTTAATGGGCAGTAAAGGGAGTAACTTTTATTTAAAGAACAAAAAGAACTTTTAGCCACTCTGTGGGCTGGGTGATGGAGAGAGCGAAGGCAGCTCGACATCTCCAACATCGGCTGCTTCCTCCTCCATTCTGGCTGTCCCTCAGCTTGTTGAAGGTTGTGGTGCTGGAGATTTCCTTGCAATGGGTTTAAAGAACTGCATTAGTGTTGTTTACATGATTTCCATTACAATTCTTTTAAAAGCTCAGCGTATGGACAAAAAGCACTCTTAAGTTGGCTTTTAAACTTGAGGCTGCGCTCCACTGAGGGATCCGACTCCTGAACTTCTTTGGAAAGGTGGTCAAGCAATGTACAGGTAGTCCTCATTTAATGATAGTTCAAAGTTATGACAGCCTTGGAAAAAGTGCTTTACGACCTGTACTCGCACTTATGACTGTTGCAAACTGTTGCACCACCCCTGTGACTACAATTTGTGATCTTTTTTATGATGGTCGTTAAGTGAATCACTGCAGTTGTTAAGCGAATCACATGGTCGTTAAGCAAATTCTGGCAAAAATGTCCATTGGGGAAGCTGGATTCGCTTAACAACCATGTGATTCGCTTAATGACTGCAGTGATTCACTTAATGTCATAATGGTCCTAAAATTGGGTCTGGTCATGTGGTGACTCGCTTAACAACCACCCTACTTAACAACCAATTTTCTGGTCCCTATTGTGCTTGTTAAGTGAGGACTACTTGTAGCCCACTTCTCAAATTTTGCTATGTTGAGCAGGACAATTTTTGGAGCAGCTTCATTGTCAGTATCATCGTTATCACTGTCTTTTTGGCCCTCCTTAGCCATAGCTTCCAAATCCTCATTGCTAAGCTCGACGACATGTTCTGTTAAAATGTTAGCTGCATCCTCCTCTTGCATGTCATCAAAGCTGTCGCCGCCAATCCTTCATGCCAAACTCATGATAGCTTGCACATTTTTAAAAATTTGTTCAATACCTTTAAAGCCTTCAAAACTGGTGACACACTGTGGCCAGGCTTTTTTCAAACAATTATTTTTTGGAGCCTGAGAAACTTTATCCCAGTCTACTTTCACATAGTCTATTACATCACAATTGGTGGCAGGCTTCTAAAAGTCCATTGTGGAATCAGGGTTTGCATCCAGATGTTGGCACACATTGCAGTAGAGCTCCTGGGTATAATGGCTTTTGAAAGACTTTATAATGCCCTGATCAAGTGGCTAGAGGACAGAAGTGGTGTTCGGGGGCATGAAAAGGTCTTTGACATTTGGGTGGGCATTTTCAAGATCCACACAAATGTGAACAGGTGTGTTGTCCAATAGCAGTAGAACCTTGGATGCAAGGGTTTTTTTTGCCAGGTACTGTTCTACTACAGGGTTGAAGTAGTTGTTGAGCCAGTCCCAAAAAACACTGGAAGTCATCCAGGCTTTCCAAATGACTGGCAGGTAGTTCAGATTTTTTTTCCTTTAAGGGCACATGGTTTTTGGGCCCTGTACAGCATCAGAGGTTTACATTTATTTTATCAAATAAAATAGCTATTTGTCCATACTAGTGTTCTTGAGCTTGTCCCACAAAATATTTCTAGCTATAGAAACAAAGGCAGATTTGAAGTCCAGAAACACCACATATAAATAGGATTTTAAATTGTGTACATATTTGTGAATAAAGTAGCATAATACTAATATATGGTGTATAGTTGACTAGCTTCTCTGAATCCTGCTTGTTCATTCCCTATTCCTTCCGACTCCATCAATGTCTGAAACTTCTTGTTTAGATACTTTGCATATAATTTACTTAAACGCTTAATAGGCTATTAGGTCTATAATTTGCTGGGTCTTCTTTATTATCCTTCTTATAAATAGAGACAATTATTGCAATCCCCCAATCTTTGGGAATATAATCTGTCTGGTCAATAGATATAAATAAGGATGTCAACAGAGGGACTCACCAATTACTATTACATTTAATCACTTTGGGTAAGATGAGGTTGTTACTCAGGGCCTTCCCAGCCTTAAGTGACACAATTAGTTTGGCCACTTTTGCTAGGGTGACTGGGGACCAACTGTCCAAAGTGTTGACGTCAAAGCATACTTATTCACTATTATGTTTGGGATCAATATATAGGGCCCTATAATGTGCCTCCCAGGTATGAATGGGGACTGATTAGCTGGATTCTCCAGTAGTCTGCTGAACCTCTGGGCAGCGAGTTGCCAAAAGAGGGAAGCGTTCTTTTGTCTAACAGAAAGGATAAGTTGGTGCCATGGATCTTTTATAGATTTCTGTTTCTTCTCCCTTAAGAGTTAATTTATATCGTAATTTAAGGCTAGACAAAGGGGTCTTAGAGGGGTAACATTTACAGACTAAATAAGCAGCCCTAAATTTTTCTTTAAACTGATGACAATCTTGGTCAAACTATTGTTTATTTTTCTTATTTGGGTAAAGGGAAAAGTTATTCATCTCTGTTATGAAAATTGACTTAAATCTGCTAATCAGCGGGTTATACAGTTCTGACTGGCACTCCTGGGAGCTGTTTACAATTAAACCTGAGCAAATTTCCAAAGCGTCGTGAGATTTTAGCCATTGAGTTACAGCGTTCCTTTCATTCCACTTAGGTTATATAGTAGTGTTAATAGCCTCCAATTCCTAAGTGTACTTCGACATAATAAAATATAGCATGGAAGGAAAATGGCAAAGCTCCAAAATTAGTAGATAGTTGACTTCTATCATATCAGCCAGATGCAGCCCATCTTCTTCTGAACCAAAGTATGGATGAGATGAAAGCCCAGCTGTTAAAGTTGGTGCTTATTAAGCTCTTCATATTATTCCCTGTCTGCAGCTTCAATCACCTGTTTGTTCTAGATGTAGTCCACCAGGTAGTTACTGTTGCATTTCCATTCAAGTATTTGGTAGATGATTTAAGATTTATGTTACCTTTGTTTCATGTTTTATCAATCAGAGATCCAGGGTTTTGTTCCCTTCATTTTTGTCTCAAAGAACATGAACTGGGATAGTTGCCTATAAATTATGCCTTGTGAAGGCTTTGTGTTCTTTCTCCTCTGAAGCTGTAATATCAACTCACTTTTCTTCATGTGGAAAACATGATGGACGATAGATGGCAAGGCTGTAGATACTAACCAGACAGAATATTTTCCTTCTGAGTGGGGAGCAGAAAATGTATTTTCAGGCAAACTTTAAGTACCAGATAATGTTTTAATTATAACTATTCATAAGAAATAAAGAATCTGATACTTCAAAACTGATAAACATTTTTCTTGGAAAGTACATGCATACCTAGGAACTGAAGACAATTAATGCTACCAAATAGGTAATTCATCATAGTTAGGCATCTAGTAGGTAGTGTGTTATTTTTCCAAATTAATGCTTTTAGGACTTCTTCCCCTCAGAATTGAAATCCTTTGTAATTTCATATGGGCTGGAAGAAAAACAAATTAAAATCACTGTTGTGTTTTCAAAGAAAAACAGAGTTATCTATTGCTTGGAAAAGTTACTGCAATAAAACCATATATAGTCTGAAGTTCATGTTAAAACAAGAATACAGGTGAGAACTTTACAATAGTATTATTTATGTAATAAATGCATGTTCAGTTATGTGGTTTAAAAGCAGATTAAAA